GTACTTAGATGTGCTTATGCTTATTTTTTTATACATGTCTGTTTTAGCTAATCTATAATTCTTTTACATTTATGTATATCTTTTCTTTGTATTATCTTGCATGTAAGATATTATAGCATCATAGCACGTTTAAAAGTTACAAAAAATTACAAGAAAGATAATACAAAACGGTAAGATATAAATGTATGTACATTCTTGTAAAAGAATTATATTAGCTAAAAATATGCTTGAATTTGATGTTTGACATCTTTAATTAAAGGTTGATCCCCATCGATTTGTGGTTTAAACAAACTGCATCCATATTGAACCCCTGGATACTTTGCATTGTTATCGTTATATGAACCCCTGGAAATTGAAAAGGATGTAAATCTTCTGGGGAACTTTGTCTTGTTCTGCTATAATCATTAGTAAATTGTCTGTGATAAAATGGTGACCTTGAATGTAATTGCATCCTGTAATAAATTTGCAAATGATACAATTGAAAATAGTACACAGTCAGTCATGTTAAATTGTGCGGTTTTTAAACTGAGAAGCTAGTACGGATACTAGAAAAAAGCACTTCCCTTATGCCCCGGTCACATATTCACGGATAATGCCACGGAAGAGCTACGGTGTAATTATTCACGGATTACTACGGAAATGTGAAATTCCGTAGTCCGCTACGGTTTCAGTACGGGCACACAACGGTATGAGTACGGAGTTCGACGGATTTACCACCAAAATCCCCGGGAGAGACACGGATTGTTACGGACCGACACGGTTTGATACGGAGCGACACGAATCAGGACGGACGCACAACGGATACACTACGGTCTGCTACGGTATAAGCACGGGTTAGTACGAATAAGTACGGTCTGATACGGAGAAGAACGAATTGATACGGAGAAGAACGAATTGCCACGGATCTATACGGACCTATTATATCCGTCCACAACCTCTTGCATGCTCAATGTCTCACAAGAAAAAGAACACCTAGAAATCGAATTGCAGAGTTCAATAATTTTGGCTGAAAGGATTAGGCCTCATTGCGTCCGACCCCCGAGATATATCAGGTCCGATTATATTAAATTTCTTGAAGGACGCCGGATCCTCAACAAGTTCGGCCATGAGAGCCTCATACTAAACATGAAGGGGTCTTCGTTAAAGCCAATCTCTAGTCCACCATCTCCTCTGTCTTCTCTTACCTGATTAGATGTGGACTAGTAATCATTAATGAAAAATGTTGATCAATACTGCTTCTCTTTTGATTTTAAAATGTGCTGTTCATTTTACAATTACAATAATTATCGTGAATGTTTTAAGAATATGTAAAATGCTTGTTTTCACTCAAGGGCCAGCGTCCGAGGCTTATGAGACACTTCGTTTTATGTACATATTTACTCCAATTTCACAATCCAATGTTTTGTAAAATATGTAACATTAAAATGTTATTATATTACTTATGCATTGTTGTATGATATTAACATATTTTTATGTCATCAAGCAGCTCGACCACTGCCTCCGCTTTTTGAGTCATATCAATATACAGTTGCAGCCAGTTAATGGCAATTATCATTTATTGAATGTTCACGCAAATATATGTTTTAACAAGCAGGTGGTATGTATACCCTTGAAAAAGTACATAATACTTGATTTATCCGTACTAAACAGTGGTGGACCGTACCATTCCGTACCGTTTCGTGATGCAACGCATTAAACCGTATAAGACCGTGCTAATCCCTGCCTCTCCGTAGTAAAACGTATTACGATCGTGCCTTTCCGTGATAATGCCGTATTAATCCGTATTAAAACCGTAGCGTATACGTAGGGTAACCGTACAAATACGTAGTTCTCCGTACCAAACCGTGGACAAGTTGGGGCCTACGAATCAGTACGGACTAGTACGGTGTTCGTACGGACCAAACGTATCAGTACGGTTTAATACGGACTAATAGGGATACGCTACGGTTGATTTTTCCGTAGCAAATTTTTGTGCATGTTCAAAAATTGTCAAGGATCGCTACGGATATACAAGGACTACTACGATTGATGATTCAGAGTCAACTCGTCCCCTGGTCAACTCGGCCTCTGGTCAACTCGTCACCTTTTTGGTCAACTCGTCCCTTGGACAACTCGTCCCCTAGTCAACTCGTCTCCAAATCGTCCCCTGTATTTTATTATTATTTGTTTTTCATATATTCCATAAATTATTATAGACTGTTAAAATATATTATAAAATGACTGAATTGGACATATTTTGACGCTTTTTGTATGCGAGTATTTTGAGTTTTTTTATCTAATAATAAGTATATATATGCGTAATTCTGATTAAATTACATACAGAATAAAACAACACGGAGACGATCAATAGCAACAACATTTAATGTATAAAAACATGTTTCATATGCAATGATAAAATATCATATAGTATGTCTTTTTAGGGAGGGCTCATTTTGAGGAAGTTGGTTGGTTACCAGTACATCTGAGGGTAAATTTCCTTATTCTTGGTCATGTACATAAGATACATAACAATAGTGCACCTAGTTATTTAAATGAGCATTTTCAAATTGCAAATGAGGTACATTCTTACTCCACTCGATTTAGAGATAGTAACAGTTATTCTATTCCAAGAGTTAAGGGTTTCGGTAAGAAAACATTTGTATTTAATGGTTGTCAGGAATGGAACAGGTTACCAACACATCTTAGGTTCATAGCAAGTCGTGATAATTTTAAAAAATCTCTTAAGGAACATTTTATGCAATCAATATCAGTTTAGTCATTTTAATCTAGTCATCTTACCTAGTTTTTATTTATATATTTTTTTATGTTTAGTGCATATTTTAGTAGTACCTATTCATTGTCAAACATATCTGTCATAATAATTATGATTATAATACATGTGTGATAAATTTTGTGATGGAAATACTTATGTGCAATAACTGATATAAGAAATTGTGATTGAATAATTTATGTGCAATACTTAAAAATTAGTAAATATTTTGCCTTTCTGGTGTCATATGATCAATTCTAAGGACCACAATGGAAATAAGTCGGCTTATGCCTTCTTTTTGTGTCATCCTTGGTATTGAATATATGGCATCAACACATGCACTTTCATGTTTACATGTATCTCTTGATGTTGACATTGAATTTGTAGTTGTTTTATGACATGTATTTTTTACCAGAATAAAACTATCTATCTATCTTGTCAATATTATTTCATATATATTCACTTTCACTTTTATTGTTTTTTGCATGCACATATTTCATTGTCTTTTTTTTTTTTGGACATGTTACGACTCTTGGGGTTTATATAAGTTCCCAAATTCTCTTAGAAGTCCCGTTGATGACAACTCCCCATTCCTGTACCTGTCCCACAGCTGGTGCGACGTAGTCTTCCTTCACTAACCAATTCAGAGTTCCTCACCGCTACCTGGGCCTCATCGTACAAAAGTCTAACCAAAAGGTCGAATGGAGGCGTTCCCCCAGCCCTCCCATTCAGTCTTCTATGCCATCATATAAAATAATAGAAGTATATTACAATACCAATAAGATAGGCACTGGTCAACTATAATAGATATATTTATCTCTTTAATGCGGTGATGTAAGAATCCATGAAGGCATTTCTCAAATTCGCTACAATTTTGTCTAAGACATATTTTTCATGTATGAGAAGTGTTACGAGCCAGGCGTAACGAGAAAGAAAAGCCAGCAACAAACTTGTAACAATAACAAATTTATTACAGAAAAATTATTAAAGAAAAATAAAATAACAAATTGTGTTTACAAATACCTGAAGTCCAAATAAAAATGTAAAATCTAATGTCTAGTCTGATCCTGGAATGATCCTTTTTGAATAGCACAGTTAAAATCCAAGAACACTTTAGAATAAATTCCCACAATAAAATCCACAAGAATAATTTATTTTAAAATCCAAGCTCCAATAATTCACTTAATATCCAATTTGAATAATACTCCAAATATATTGATGACTTAAAAAGTAACTGATGACTTAAAAGGTAAAGGTAATGAAAAATGTCAATCTATATATATTAACTAAGAAGTTTCTAGAATAGTCTTCCATTTACTACAGTAATCATAATCTAGCAACTTCACCAATAAAGATCATTCCAGAAATTTTCTATCTAAATATAATGCATGAGTTTTCTACAATAGTTAAGAACGTTCTAGTACATACATGTAGTTTATGTTCTAAAAATAGAACAATGATAATATTGGAAATACCAACTGGTCATATATAAATTATATACATGTAATAAGTTGCATACATAACAGAAGTATGACTTCTACCGTGTATACAGTCTAAAAATCAAAGAGTTGGACCTAACTTTAGTTTTAATTAACATTAAAATTCCGATTGATTAAACATTAATTGAATGTTTGCAAACTTACCTGTCTTTGTAGTTTTACATCAAAGCTATGCACGTGCGCTTAGATAAAGATCATTAAAATTTTACGTAAAAAAGACGTTATTTTATTAATATTTCGATATCAATCTAATTCATTATTAATTTTACATAAAAGAACTATTTAAAGACATTGGTTTACAACACAATATGACGAATAGATCGAAATAAGGGGACGAGTTGACCATATTAGGGACGAGTTGACTCTTTGAGGACGAGTTGACCAAAAGTAGGGGACGAGTTGAACAAAAAGGTGACGAGTTGACCAGAGGACGAGTTGACCAGGGGACGAGTTGACCGGATTGCCGATTGATTACGGTTACAATACGGAGAGCTACTGACCAGTACGGATAACTACGGACGATGCCGGAATTAATCCGTGGTTCTTCCGTGAGCGTTTTCCGTGAATATGTGACCGGGGTATTATTACCGGATAAGAAAAAAGTGCGATCACCTACGGCTTATAGTCAGGAAAAAATATAGTAATGAATAGATTTGGTCAAAAAGGCTTTTCGATAATACTTCTTTAAATCTTTTTATAGAGAAGAAACATAACTCCTGTCCTTTGTAAAATATGTTTTTTTTAAACTTGGTCTATATGTCGTTTATACGATACTAAGGCTTTTGATTTTAATTATAGGAAGTCCTTAAAAATTAATAACTATTCATTGCTAGCAGTTTAAACCGACGTGAGAAGTTCGTAAATAAATACAAATTTATCTGTTTTATAAACATTGTCAAATTGAGATAAGGTAGGAAACTTAATTAATCGTTCAGGTACATTGCTATTTGGTTTTCAAAATATTTTTGTGTTCTTTTGTTTAATTTTTTTACATATTCTAAAGTGGTATATATTTCGGATACACCTGTTTTTCTGACGGCAAGACGTTTCTCTGGCGGTTTTCTCTGGATATGGATGGTACGTTTCAGGGCCTTTCAGCATATAAGCAACGGCAGAGAGGAGTAATTTCAAATGGAATATGCCTGATTTTAAACCGTCAACTGTCTTAGCTTGTGCAACACTATCACTCAATTTATTCGGGTTTGCCTAAAATACGAAAGTGAGATTTTTGACGAAAGTGAGCGAAAGTGACTTTTAGAATTTGAACTGTACCGTTTTAATAGAATTTTACAGTAAAATTCCTGTTTGCAGACGTTTATTATAAGCAACTAATTATATATATTATAATAGATAACCATAATCATGATTAAATCGCCATTTATTTGCCTAATTTATATATACAAGTTCAGTACGAAAGTAACTTGAAAAGTATTAGATATACAGTAGAGTTTAAATTGAAAATGTACTAAATTTGCAGTTTGTAGTCGATTAATATAAGAAATTAATTTTATTTATTTTCTAAATTAATCATTATGATGATTTATAGTTTTATTCCCCATTTTTTGCATAATTTCTGCATACAATATCAGCGATCTTCCTTTCGCTTACATTGAAAAATACAAAAGTGACTTGTAAAATATCAAATATAGTGTTTGAATTGGAAATGTACTTAAATTGCAGCTTGTAAACCACGGACTTTAATTGTAATTTAAATCCGTGTTGTAAACGTATATTATCAGAAATTAATAATTTGATATTCAACACTATATTTCAATTTAAAATTCACTGTAAAATTCTATTAAAACGGTACAATTCAAATTTTAAAAGTCACTTTCGCTCACTTTCGTCAAAAATCTCACTTTCGTATTTAAGGCATACCGAATTTATTCCAATCGACAATTGTTTGTGGTTATAACCACAGGGGATTCTGTCTTTTTTTATATATAATATAACAAGGGATACAACTCAAAATTGCTCAATTCATGAAAAAGTAAATAGAACGCAGTATACAACAGCTTTTTTTCTTTTGATTGTTGGACATTCATACAAAAATCGATAATTTAAAAAAAAAATGATTCACTTTGATACATGGACAAGATATTATTAAAATTAACATTTCATGTTTCATTTTTACACATGTTTGTAAAATTTTGGTTTGTAAAATTACATGTGTATAAAACAATATCTAATGCAAATGTATGCTCATATAGAAAAGTTAAATCATGTAATCATGCATGCAGTTAAAAATCAATCATCTACCACCTCTGGTTTGTAAAATTACATGTGTATAAAACAATATCTAATGCAAATGTATGCTCATATAGAAAAGTTAAATCATGTAATCATGCATGCAGTTAAAAATCAATCATCTACCACCTTCAATGATGAAATCATTAACTTCTGGTACAAATTATTGTAACAATTATCATACATGTGAACTCTCGCACTTTAAGCGGGAGACTCCCACTTTCTGCAGCCATATTTTTAAAGATTTTTCTTAAAATAAAGGGTATTTTCACAAATTAAAGAAAACTCCTTTTGGTGTCAGAACTTCCTTCTTTGTTTATTGCAAATTCTAAAATCTCCCTCTTTTTGACGAAAAATCTCCCACATGATCATAAAAAAAAGTTCACATGTATGAATTATTGTTTGTTTTGATAATTTCTATCCTCGGCATCCATTTTGAATGTGCCCGTATGTTCCATGCATAATTTCTCTTAGTGTCACTGTCAATTTCATTAATTCACTAATGAATAATAAAAATCTGGATAATGACAGCGTATAGCCGCGACGGATAAGTGTTTTTTTTCATCAGCCAATGATGATTTATTTGTATTTTTTTGCAATTTTATCCCCTTTTTTCGACTGAGATATTCTTGTTTTGTTTTTTTTGTTCGTTATCTTAATTAAGTAAACTTAATTCTTCTTCTGTATAGAATTATCAATTCATGCTGGGAGATCTGTAATATATATCTCTGATTCATGATTATATTTATTAAACCTCAAAATTTCAGCCAAAAATATTTCTTTTATTGAACTTTTAAGAGAACATTAAGGGTTCAGACTTTTAAAAAATTTTTTTTTTTGAAAACTAAACAATTGTTTTGATTCTTTTGTTACAGATGAGTAAGAAACAGACACCAAGTGAATTTTTGAAAAAGATCATTGGAAGACCAGTTGTAGTGAAGCTTAACTCTGGTGTAGATTACAGAGGTATAATAAATATTTCAAAATGTCAAACGAGTCAATGTTTAACACAAGATGATATGTCAGTCGCAACACTCAGACCCCTACCTCCAAGGTCAAGGTCACACTTTTAGGTCAAAGCTTAACATGGTCTGTTATAGGGTATGTTTTGTGTCCGGTATATAACTTTTTCATCACTCAAGGGATTTTGAAATAAGTTGACACAACTGTTTACAATAATAAGGCAACATGTCATGTGCAACACTCAGATCCCTACCTCAAAGGTCAAGATCACATTTAGAGGTCAAAGCCTAAAATGGTCTGTTACAAGGTACATTTGTGTGTATGATGCTAAATCAGGCCTATACATTGGTGAATTGCCCACATACCTTGATTGATGAAAAAGTTACGGTTAAAAAGTTACGAACTGGACATGAAATATACTCTGTAACAGACAATACCCTGCATTGATTTTGTAATTTTCATATTTTGTGTCTTTAAAATAGTGATAACAACTATACAAATGGTTTTCTGTTGACATATATACAGGAGTTATTTCTTCATATTTTATATCTTTAATGGTTCGAATCCCGACAGGGACTTTGGATTCTTTCATGTGAGGAAGCTATCCAGCTAGCTTACGGAACGTGGGTGGTTCTACTCAGGTGCCCGTTGGTGCCTGAAATAATGCACAGAAGGGCACCTGAGGTCTTCCTGCACCAGTAAAAGCTGGAATGTCGCGATATGACCTATACTGTGTCGATGTGACTTAAAACCCAAACAAGCAAATATCTTTAATGAAATTATTGCAGATCTATGTGTGCAGATCTGGCATTGATTAAATTTTGCACTGAAAGTCCTGATCCGTACCTCAATCTTTTGAAATAGCTCAATTTTGTGCTTAATGTAAAAGTTTCCTTGGAAGGGGGACGTTGGTAACTCTATTACAAATTCTTGTTTGTGCTGGATTCAGCAGCAAGAATTACAAAATAACAGTTTATAGCACATTTTCCACTTTCAAAGTTAAACATTTTTCAGCTTGTCAAAACCTTATCAGTATATTAAAAACACTATTGCCAACAACAAATGGCTTGTTGTTTTCTTACTTCTATGACTATGATACAGTTGTTATCAGACACACATTTGGGTGACTTTCAAAGCAATATTATATATTCATTAATGATACTGCAATCCATACAATAAATTGACCATAATATTTGCAAGGTTTAACACATATTCATAATAACAGTGTATATGAGATGTTACTTTAATCTGATTTCAAGTAACTTAGGGAATATTAAAAAATTTTGCTAATAACTCATAAATACATTAATACATTTATATTGTAATATATTTCAGGGGTGTTAGCATGTTTGGATGGTTATATGAATATTGCCCTTGAACAAACAGAAGAGTATGTAAATGGACAGCTTAAAAACAAATATGGAGATGCATTTATTAGAGGCAATAATGGTTGGTAATAGTATAGTTTTAAAATCCAAACTCATTAACCTCTATTTGTTGCAATTTTCGTGTTTTAAAATGTTTAAATGATAGTGTGGAAATGTTAAATGTCAAGTAAGGATTCACAGAGATTTGACACAATAATATTGAAGTTATACATGTATGTGACGTATAGGGCAGTAGATATATTACTGTAAGTAAATACAAACAAGAATAGAAATAAATAGAAGCTTTTTTATATCATGTGAAAATAATAAAGTAAGCCCATACAATTATTAGTGTGTGTAATAATTGTTTTAACTTTTAGCAAATACTTTTTCACTCTTGCATTATTCTGTTAAACGATAAATACACTATTGTACCATGGTGTGAAGACAACCCCTATGTTTGTTTTATTCTCAGTTTATTTCATACTATTTATGTTTCTCTTTTTTTTCAGTGCTTTACATTTCAACACAAAAGAGAAGAGGGTGACAGGGGAACTAGAAACTGAAGAAACTTTGACATAATAATTTACAATGAAGAGTATATAAAATAAAGAAAACAGTAATGAAGCTGCAGAATATGATAATAGATTAATTCTGGACCAGTGATAAAACACATTTACTGGATTATTTGCCTTCATTTCTTTTGATTTAGGCTAAAGTGAAAAATCTCTATGGATATTGTGTAAGTTTGAACTCTATTTTTGTGAGTGCATTGTAATAAAGCATATTATGTTCTACTTGTAACACCTGCAAGTGTAGATTGAAGTTATTCTCATCAGATTGTAAACAAAAACTTACTATAATCACTGTTTTATAATTGCTCATTATTCAAGCATATGTACTGTTCATGACAGCTGTGATTTGTTATTCTACCATTTGAAGGTAATAATGTGTGCCACAAATAAGGAGCCAGGACAATCTATATATCCGTGTAGGCTGATCAAGCTCTATATAATACTGTAGGTCTTCTCTATGTTATTAGGTAATAAGATTTTTGACAGGTTATATGGCTTTATATAAATGGTTGGTTTTTGTTATATTACAAAAAAATATTTATATACCAGCAGTATAACCTATTGATAATCTTTATATTAATCAATTTATAATACAGCAAGCTTCTTTTATTTGAGAATAAATGCAAATACTTCATAAACTCATAAATTGACAGCAGCCATTTTTATAGTTTATATGAACATGAAAATAATCCAATGAATAAAGACGTTACAAATTTGCAGTAATATAACAGTATCTTGATGCAGACTACTTATTGTGCCAGATTCATTGCAGTGGAAGTCCGTTATAAAAATTGAAGCAATGTAAAGGTTAAGAACTTAATATTACAGCTGTTTATCAATGATTCTTAACATATTCATGCATATATAATATTTGTTACAAGTTGAGCAAATGTTGAATATAAATCTGTCACTATTGAAACAAAATGTTTGAATGTCTTGTAGACTTGTAGTTAGTTGCATATCTCACTTTCATTGTCATCATCAATTTTATATCATTTCTGAATATTAAGGTGACAACGGAGTCAATTATCACTGAAAATACCTAAAATGAGATTTTTTGTTAAGTAGATTTATCAACCTTTTCTGAACACATTCGTGATTTAATTTTGGAAGCAGTTAGTCCAAAAAATGTGTTTTTAAACGATTTAAAACGGTACCTATACTATTTGTATCTGCTATTCGCGTAACCTGTCGATTATCGATAACGCTCCGCCCCCTGTTGAGGCATCAATGAGGGAAATCGGTAGTTCCATATATCCGTGAATTACAGGTCCATACTGGTCCATACTTCTCGTAATACATGTATCGTTCATCTAACGTACATCTTTTATGAATATCTCAACATTTAGCCTTTTTTATAAATTAAGAAATTGTCGGCCAATGTACGTAACATAATGTATGAAACATAAATAATTAAGCATAGCGGCAAATCGCACGACCACGGGGTTGATTAAAAATGTAGTTGCTAAAATATCCATAATGTGTGAAAATAATTTGTCTATCCCGTTAATCTGATATATATAACATTGAGTTGATAGACTTTTGTACGGATTCAAGGGCTTACTTTACATTCAACCTCGTTTTCTAACAATGTCAAGTAAAACAACAACAGACGACATTTTTTATGTGAACGCTTATATGACTTGTGGTAAGGTGTCCCTGACAAATTTCTAAACCATTTTAGATTGTCTAAGGATGATTATTTCTCTATGAATAAAAAAAGATATTAAAATATATTCTCAGTGAAAATAAATTGTTCGCCAGTAAATCCGACACAGTACTAATAAATCTGGGACAAAGTATGAAATTTATTGTCTATCCCGGTAGAAACTGGATCTCTATGCCGTGCATAGATGATATTCATGATAATAGAAGTCAAGAAGGCCACATCATAATGATCGAGTAATGCCTTTTATTTCTATTAAAATATGTGAAGCATTATCAATTTGGTGGAAAAAATATATACTATCCCGTTCTTATTTGTACATCTACCATGGACTTTAAAAGACTGTCAGAAGCTCAGTTTTTTGTTATTTTATTTTATATTTTAACGGAATTTCATACACGAATACACAGGCAGAGTGACACTGGTATAATACAATAATAATGCTGATGATAATAATAATAAACTTCAAATAGGAAACAATTAAATACCCCGCTAGCGGTGCGCAAATGCGTTCCATTTGCCCCCACTGAGTGCCTCAAATTTTACCGATAGCCACGTGACATGTGCGACAGATACCAGACGAACAGTAAATCACGTTAAGAATTGAAGAAATTTCGGCTATAAACTGATATTAATCAGCAGCTTTTTAATTGGTCAGATGTCACTGGGTCATAAAATGTTGTTAGAGTATGTTACCGCAACTTGTGATCCTCTCTGGTGCGATATTTGTGTATTATACAATTATTTAGCGTGAAACGTAGGGGTCAGAGAGAGAACAGCCGATTTATGACACTTCGTTTGATGCGGGTCGGACTAACTTTGAATCGGCATAACTTTTTTAATAATCAAGCAATTAACATGCGGTTTAAAGCACATGAAAGGAAATTCATTTACGGAGGGAACCGTGTCAGGGATTTTTGTTTGCTCAATCAGCGACTTAATTATCTTAATTACGTAATACGTATGGTGAAAAAAGTCGCATATTTTGTTTGACGTGACGTAATATTTTTTTGAGAAAAGATATAAAAAATTTGAGACACGGTTCCCCAGATAATATAAGTATGGTTATTTTCCAAAAGTTTGATGACAAAAAAATAAAAAATGACTTTGATATGACGATTTAAAATTTTAGGATTTTTATTCAAAATCAATCATTTACAAAGGCATTTTTTTCAAATATGTTATTTTTTATGATGATCAACGACAATTAATGCACAAAGATTAAATGAATAACAATTATTACTAAAATAACTTGGTTTAAATGACATTTATGTGAGTACCACGGAAAGTGTCTGTTGTCACCTTAAATTCTGAAAATTATGTATATTACTTCACTTATCATTTTATAGACCCTCGTCCTAGGCGAGATTAACATATTTTATACACCAGTTAAAATGAATATCTCACTTTTTAGCTCACCTGAGCAAAAGTGCTCAGAGATTAGCTTTTATGATACTATGATGTCTTATATGCATAATTATCAACAACTTCTTTAAACAGCATCTCCTTTAACCACATGGTAGATTTTTACCAAACTTTACAGGAACATTTCATATGTTGCCCTTTTCAGTTATGTTATTGTTCGAGCTTGATCCATTAGTAGATAACAATAGCTAAAAATAGACATTATAATGAAATCTTAAAACAAAAATCATGTTCAGAAATTACAATGTACTACAACTAGGGTATTTGACCTGCATGATTTTCTTGTAGATCTTTACAAAAGTTCTGTGAATTATACCTTTTGTGGTTAAAATGGCTAAGCCTTATAATGATCTGTGCTCTTATCACATTGACTGGTATAAAAATACAGTCTTCCAGACCTTTCAATGTCCAGATTTTGTTTGTTTGTTTTGGATTTTACGTCACATCGACACAATATAGGTCATATCGCGACGTTCCAGCTTTACTGGTGGAGGAAGACCTAGGTGCCCTTCCGTACATTATTTCAGGCACGAACGGGCACCTGAGTAGAACCACCGACGTTCCGTAAGCTAGCTGGATAGCTTCCTCACATGAAGGAATCCAAAGTCCCGGTCGGGATTCGAACCCACAGCGGTAAGGGGCAAGTGGCTCAATGTCCAGAGCTCAGATATTTGTAATATATGATTCCAATAAGACCAACCACAGGCGTACATTCAATTATTTATTATTCATATCGATTTCGAACTAGTATGTTCTTCGTCAGTGAATAAACTAAAATTATTTGACAACAGACTTAAAACTTTGTAGGATATTTTTTTATATTTGTCATATAGCATCCTCTTGTAATTTTCCACAAATGTTCAATGTTCATGCCCCAAGGTCCAAAATTGGCCACACCCATTGGGTCTTTTTAAATCTTCATGTGTGAAACTAAATGCTCACTTTAAATATTTAGCACGTAGCATTGCCTATGACCAGGTACAGTGAAAGGATTTCATGATCAATCACTCAAGAGTGTCCGTTATCATTCAGGAATCAAACCTGGGTCACCCAATTCACAGTCCAACGCTCCGCCGCCAATTGAGCTAACTGAACGGCTCAGCCTTTTAAACCTCTGCTATGGAGGTTATAAAGAAATTTTCCATGCTCAAATTTAGAACTCGGGTTTTTGACAGGTGAGAAAGCAACACCTTAAGGACTCTGAAAATCCTGAGATCTGAGACAGATATAAGTTTTATAACCTCCTGGCCTAGTGTGATTTAAAGATGAAGAGCAACTGTCTTTCTCCAATAAAACTGGGGAAAAAAAACTGCTGAATAGTAGTATAACAGCAGAGCAGACAAAATCTGATTTTGACTTACTTGCGACGTTGTCCATTTTTAGCTCATCTGTCACAAAGTGACAGGGTGAGCTTTTGTGATCGCTTTTCGTCTGTCCGTCCGGCGTCCGTCCGTAAACTTTTGCTTTAAATAACATCTCCTCATAAACCACTGTGCCAATTTCATCCAAACTTCACAGGAATGTTCCTTTGGTGGTCACCTTTAAAAATTGTTCAAAGAATTTAATTCCATGCAGAACTCTGGTTGCCATGGCAACCGAAAGAAAAATCTTTAAATATCTTCTTTTAAACAACCCTAAGAGCTAGAGCTTAGATATTTGGCATGAAACATCTTCTAGTGAGTGTCTACTAAGTTTGTTCAAATAAAAGCCCTGGGGTCAAAATTGGCCCCGCCCCAGGGGGTCATTGATTTTCCCTATATGCATATAGTAAAAACTTTAAAAAAATCTTCTTTTAAAGAACCCTAAGAGCTAGAGCTAAGATATTTGGCATGAAACATCTTTTAGTGAGTGTCTACCAAGTTTGTTCAAATAGACCCTGGGGTCAAAATTGGCCCCGCCCCGGGGGGGGGGGGTCATTGATTTTCCCTATATGCATATAGTAAAAACTTAAAAAATCTCCTTTTAAAGAACCGTAAGAGCTAGAGATTAGATATTAAGCATGAATCATCTTCTAGTGAATGTCTACCAAGTTTGTTCAAATAAAAGCCCTGGGGTCAAAATTGGCCCCGCCCCAGGGGGTCATTGATTTTCCCTATATGCATATAGTAAAAACTTAAAAAATCTTCTTTTAAAGAACCCAAAGAGCTAGAGCTAAGATATTTGGCATGAAACATCTTCTAGTGAGTGTCTACCAAGTTTGTTCAAATTAAAGCCCTGTGGTCAAAATTTGCCCAACCCCGGGGGGTCATTGATTTTCCCTATATGCATATAGTAAAAACTTAAAAAATCTTCTTTTAAAGAACCATAAGAGCTAGAGCTAAGATATTTGGCATGAAACATCTTCTAGTGAATGTCTACCAAGTTTGTTCAAATAAAAGCCCTGGGGTCAAAATTGACCCCGCCCCAGGGGTCATAGATTTTCCCTATATGCATATAGTAAAAACTTAAAAAATCTTCTTTTAAAGAACCCAAAGAGCTAGAGCTAAGATTTTTAGCATGAAACATCTTCTAATGAGTGTCTACCAAGTTTGTTCAACTAAAAGCCCTGGGGTCAAAATTGGCCCCGCCCCAGGGGGTCATTGATTTTCCCTATATGCATATAGTAAAAACTTAAAAAATCTTCTTTTAAAGAACTCAAAGAGCTAGAGCTAAGATATTTAGCATGAAACATGTTCTAATGGGTGTCTACCAAGTATGGTCAAATAAAAGCCCTGGGGTCAAAACTGGCCCCGCCCGGGGGGGGGTCATTGATTTTCCTTATATGTGTATAGCAAAAACTTAAAAATCTTCTTTGAAAAAACCCAAATAGCTAGAGTTTAGATATTAAGCATGAAACATCTTTAAGTAAATATCTACAAAGTTTGTTCAAATAAAAGCCAGGGGGTCAAAACTGGCCCTGCCCCAGGGGTGTCATTGTTTTTAACTATATGTGTATAGTAAAAACTTTAAAAATCTTCTTTTAAAAAACCCAATGAGCTAGAACTTAGATGTTTAGCATGAAACATCTTCTTATGTGTGTCTACCAAGTCTGTTCAAATAAACAAATAAAAGCCCTTGGGTAAAAATTGGCCCGGGGGTGGGGGGGGGCCTATATACAGGTGAGCGACCTCAGGGCCATCATGGCCCTCTTGTTATCTAAAGCATTAATTTTCTAAACTTGTCTGAATGATATTTAAACAGTAAATTTTTGAATATTTCCACTTGTCTGTACAGGCTGTGGAACAACCTTGGCAATTGATTTTGCTACCCATGTAAGTGTCAGTATTACACCCAAACTAAGGGTGAGAGAAATATCTTGGTGGAATCTTACAAAGGTGGAGCACTTTGATGTACCTGGATTGATCAATTATCATATAGCCTCCACCTTCAAACAGGATAATCATTAAATATACATTATATATAACATTACCAGTTAATGTGTCTTGCTCATTTATTTTCATGTCTATTAAAAACAATTTTATTCATGTTATATTTGATATATATAATTATAATAAAAAAAAAATACAAAGTCATCAGTGTTTAACAAAAACTTAAAACTATTTCATGATTTTCCCAGATCTAATATGTGTCTGAGTAACGTTCATTAAGAACATGCTACACTGACTTGTAAATTACATTTAAGTTTTTGCACAACAATAAAGTGTTTATCATTACAGCTCAACTTTATCTTCCGAACAGACTAGCTAAAAATCATCAAGTTCACAGTTTCACTGTTCTAAAATAATCCACAAATACAGTATAAGAAATTCTAAAATTTACTAAATATTTGTGTTACGGTTTACATTGTTTCAAGCAAACAATTGACCAGATTCTAGCTTAATATTATAATGTTAATTAACAAAAATCTTTTAATTGTAACTAACATAATTGTATTATGTCTACATATTCAACAACAAAGTAATGAAATAAGTTCTGTCAATACCTGCATACCTAATTATACTCTCATGAAATATAGATTTTCTTTTCACCCAGTATCAATTGTTCATATTATATAAGCAGTATATGTTGCAGAATATATTCAGGTATGCAATAAAGCAATTAAAACTATGAAAACACTTCTATTAAAAAACACACCTTTTCAATCTCGGCCCAACAGAATTTAAAGCTGTATTTTAAATTAAAATATATAGTATTACATGTATGCGGCTATAAAATTAATTGGAATAAATTATTCTACAAACATAGTTACAAAAACATCAATAAAAATTTGTCACCTTAGTGCAGTAATAGACTAACTGTCTCCTATTTTTTGAACAATAGGAGTTAACCTTTTACTGCAACAAGGTGATGGAATTAATATACATAAATTAATTAAAATATATATTATGTGTATATGTAAATGTTATATGCAACATGCCAGGTATAAATTTCTAATTAAACATTTAATTAACTAGCAGTATTACTAGTCTATGTGTATAATGCATATCTCCTGAATATATAATGAAAGCAGAAATGAATACCTCTTTTTTCTTGAGCAATAATTTTGGAACAATATTCTTTGAATATTTGAACAATTTCTTTTACAGAGTCGATCAAATTTGACAATTATAATATTACAATTAATCTTTTTTTAAGATAACTTGCCTTTACAATTAAATAAACTTGAAATTACAGTGTCCTTTAAATTCAGTACTATACATGTACACTGTTACTTTCACATATCATAATAAACAGAATAAGTCAAGTCCAGGATTTATTTTTTATCTTTCTCTAGAATAAATTTTACCTTGTTTACAATCTAAGGGAGGTAACAATGACAAGAAATTTAAAGCACAATGCTATAACCCGCACCAGAATCATAAACTATTTCAAACTATTGTTGTATTGCAAATGATATGCTTAACAATTCTACCAAACGATAAATAATCTAAAACATGTTTATTAAAAGCAATCATATCTTATAACAAAGTATAATTATAATCTAACTAATTTATCACATTTTGCATCAAGTACTTCAACTTCATATCAAGACCTGTCTGCAGACAGCAGACTCCATTTTTCTCATTCGGAAAGGTGCCATTTTTCTGCAATTGTTCTTAGCGGACTTATCTCCCATTTTTGTGAACAAGTATTTTAAGAGTTTGAAGAGAATATCTTTGATGGTGTTTGACAAAAACAAAATATTTTAAGTGAAAAAGGAAAAATTGTTTTGTAAAAACAACCTTGAATTAAATACCTTTGATAAAAAGAAATTTACCAGGAAAAAAAATTTCCAAGTCAAAAAGGAACATAACTTTATCATTTTTGCCCTTTTGTTTTGAAAGTGAACAAGTGAAAGTTTAAAGTGAGTAACTTTGATACTTTCTGGAGAAAAAAAATCTAAGTCAAAAAGGGGAATAACTCAAAGAATTATACATTATATGGATTATCTACCCTGTTGAGATCATGTCACATTTTGGTAGTGAACAAGTATACCATGTTTGAACTGAATAGCTTTGATACTTAATTGATAGTTTCTGAGAAAATTGACCTTAACAAAAAAGGTTAACCAATCATGTATAAGGGGGTCATGACATGGAATGACAGCATAGGAATCTCTCAGATAGTTATATATTTGAGAAGTTATTGGACTTTTATGATGGCACTATTTTAAGATTTGGGTTCCAGACAGTTGCCACAGCTACAACTGAGGATATAAGTCCAAAAATACCTTGTTTTGTTGCCGATAACTGCATGTACTTCAGGGTACATAATGGAATTGGTAAGTCAAAGAAATTTTTTACAGTATCTAGAACAAGAGGGATATTTTGTTGTGTTATTTCTAACATGGTCGCAGGTCTACGATTAAGAGACTGATAATTTGTGTCGCCATTCTTGTACCTGCTTGAAGACAGTTTCTTTCTTACAGTAAGCTCTTCCTGTATAACGCAGTAAATTCCATACAAGTCACGAATAGAGTTCAATAAGAGCGTAGCCAAATAGAACCTAGCTGAAATTTTTCCCCAGTACTCTCGGTCTACTTTTATGGCACCAACTGAGTTAAACCATAGGATATGATCAAAGAGGAGATAGAAAGCTTGGTTGATCTTTGACAGAGTTAAAGTCAATCTGAGGACTGTATCTTTTATATGGATACTCTTTAGAGCTCCTTGAAGAAAATCCAAACTCTTTCCAAATCGCAATACTGAAAATATATAGATGTATAACATTTAATATTTTCATACCTTCTAAGAGGAATAAAAACCAGTAACTTAATTGCATCATCATACTTGCAAAATAATGGGGTCCTTATGAAAAACTGACCTGTTAAGTAATTTCAAATATGCAAGTTAAAGTCAGACAATGTCATATATTATGATATACTTCACTACTATACCAATAAAATAAAACACAGCATAAATAGTGGGGCGGGAAATTGAAAAATAGTGCAAATTGTGATACAAGCATGAAACTTTCAGGAAATCATCTTTAGACCATAAAGATTTCAAAAGTGAAGTGGGCCCAAAAATATCTCTGCTCATTCAAGATGGCCGCCATTTTCAAAATGGCCGCCATATAAATTTGCGTACATTCTAGCTCATTCATTCCAATTTTTGTACAGACCTTTAACTCACACCAAAAGCATACATATAATTTCTCCTTTTCAAAAAATTAAATATCACAAAATTTCTCTTTCATACTTCTTGCAAATCCAAGATGGCGTCCAATATGGCCGTCGATTTTGTGCAAAACTGTTATATCATTTTTATAGTATAATTTGTTGCACAAATTATGTTTATTATGATAAAAAAAGTGTTTAAACATATCAGAGATAATCAAATTATATGTTAATCTCAATAAAAGTAAACATTTTAAAAGTTTTTGTCTAAAAATATGTTCCATTTTTTTCATATTTTTCAAATATGATTTTCTAAAGTAATGTACAAAGTTAAAAAAGTTACTTTATATCTTAAACTGTATTTGACATTCCATTAATATCATGTGTTTATTGTGAAGAATGTAAGAAAAGCATTTAATCTGTAGGTTTTATATTTTGTGAAAGTGGGTGGGGTAATTTTATATGATAATTGTGAAAGAAAAAACAACAGAAAATCTGCATAGCTAAGTTCATTCTATTTCTTTGCCTTTTTACTTTTATAATTCTTTACTTTTTTGAATTCTTATGCAAATGTTCCAACTTAAAAAGTACTTTTTATTGGATGAAAGTATTTTTGTCTTCCTTCGGGTCATTTGGTGGGTGAGCAAGAAATGCACATACAAACATGTGTATACATTCAGTTATTAAATTTGGTTGCATGATAATTCTTGTTTCAATATATTTGATATCATATATTAATTGTTAATCGTAAAGACATATAAGAAGACAAACAAGAGCTGTCCGTAAGACAGCGCGCTCGACTTTTTTATTGCTTGCCAATAAAAAAAGTTTTTGCAGTAAAAGGCAATACAAGAATCTCTGTATTTTTAAAGTGAACAATGGCCATGAGCATTAAGATATTTAGTGAAGAATTATTTTACTGAATTGGGTTAAGGCAATAAGTGGATTTTACCCATATTCAATGTATTTTCTAAGTCAAAAAGGGGCATAATTCTGTCAAAAACCTTGACAGAGTTATGTCCTCTTGTCTGTTGATGAAGGTCGTGATGGTAAACAAGTATGGTCAGTTTCAAAGCAATACCTCCAATGGTTTTGAAATAAAGTGAGGTGGTACAAAAAACTTAACCAAGCTCAATACACTTTCTAAGTCAAAAAAGGGCCATAATTCTGTCAAAAACCTTGACAGAGTTATGTACTCTTGTCTGTAGATGGAGGTTATGATGGTGAACAAGTATGGTAAGTTTCAAAGCCATACTTGTAATACTTCTGAAATAAAGTGGGGTGGTACGAAAAACTTAACCAAGGTGTGACGCCAACGCCGACGCCGACGCCGGGGCGAGTAGGATAGCTCCCCTTTTCATAGAAAAGTCGAGCTAAAAATCAACTAAACGTGCTTAAAATAGCAAACATGTACTTGAATGTAAAGTATAAAAGTAGTCCATAAACGCATATTTTGACTCCTCCACAATTTTATATTTATAATATAAACATGGCTTAAAAGCCAACAAAATGTATGTGATGTGAAACATATATATTAATGATATGGCCTGGCCTGCATGCAACTTTTTGAAAAGTTAAGATACAAACTAAGTGTACTAGTATTTAAATCCTAAAGTAATCATATCTTATTTTTTTCTTTCAATAAGAGGATAATGATGACCCTGGATCACTCACCTAAGATCATTGTTGGAAAAAAGGTAACAAGATCATTTTGGGAGCGTCAATTTTGTCAAAACACACATGATTTGTGTCATAATTGAATCCGGTTGCTTTTAAAGAAACATGCTCAATATCTGGTTTCAATTTTTTATTTCACACGAGAGAACTTTAATAACAATATCTATATACGAGTCCATATAAACTTAAAGACCTTCTGTGTTTGGTAAATTTGGACCATGTTGTCCATGATATATCATTATAATAACATAATTATGATGATACATGATTAATGTATATGCGTCGGATAGTGTAGGTTAAGAGAAAACAGATTTATTACGGTAGTCTTTGTAAATTAAGTGATACCATTGCAAAATCATTTTACACTGCAGTAGCATCATACAAATTTATGCATGTTATATCAGTCTACATCCCAAATATCTTATTTCAAGTCAATGAAGTTTAACACTAGATGTTTTTAATGTGTTTTCCTATACAAGTCTGTGAACCCAGGTGGCTCTATGAGCATGATTCATTAAATGTGTTAATACAGACCCAAGGTGGTGCTACATGCCAGCTTAGTACCTGTGCTCTATGCATTTTGATTTTTGAGAAGATTTTTTATGTTGCATGTACACTTAATGATACAAAAGTGTTTAATGTAACTTTTAGAGAGGTCTTCTTTACTTGGCAAGGTTATATTTTGACTATTTAAGCTCTAGGCATTTCAGTTTGTTTGTTGATTTTTTTTTAATAACATCAACAACAACAAAACAACTTCAATGTGATTCCCTACACAAGTCTTTAAAAACTGTGTTCCTCGTGAGGGCCTTTAAATCATGTTCCTGCAGTCCAAAATGGCTTTGCCTGTCACTTAGTTTACATTGACTTATATATTAAAATTCTTCTCCGAAACTATGTGCGCAGAGAAGAGAAAATATCGTATATCATAACATTGTGATGCTATATAAAGATTATAAACTATTGGCATAGGGTCAAAATCACTTAGTTTACATGGACTCTTATTTGAATATAGTTATATGAGTCTTCTTGTAGTTCTGAGAGCCTAGTTATTGGACAATATTCTTTAAATCATGACTGGTGAAAAAAAGATACTCCTTATATGATTTTAGCATTCTTCAGTATAAAAGAATTATAGACCTTTTCCAGCAGTGGGTCTTAGGCGCGTGATCTAGGGTCAACAATGCTGTCTTGTTTTATGGGGGAAAATAAAGTAGGAATACATTTAGTTTATATTCCAAAGTATAAGCTATGTTTGTTATGTGGGTCAAGCGGTTTTATTGATACCTATTTTAGCACACCTAGTCATTAGATAATATGATGTATCAGTCGCGTAAATTTTTGTTTCTTTTGAAAATATCATGTCTACATAAGTTATTAGAAATGGACGGTACTTATTCAATTATACTTCGGGTTACAATGATGTGCAAGTAAATATAACTTTGAATCATTCTGTTACAAACTTTTAGCAAGACTAAATTGTGCAGGAAATAATTGTATTCATAACTAGATAACATTTCACTAAGGTCCAGGCATGATTTTATCTAACATATGGTTCGTTGATGAATATTCAGTCTTCTTTCTGTACAATTATCAAGTTATATTATGACTATTGAAACAACTTATATCATGCAAACACATTTACTAACTGAATGTATACATATGATTGAATCTGCATTTATTGATATTTTAGTACACCCTCTAGACCTGAAGGAAAACAAAAATACCTTAATACAATAAAATACTTTTACAGTGAATATTTGCATAAGAATTCTTAAAAAACGTTATTTTGTACTACAGTTGTCTGATAAATTTACCCCACCCACTTTTAATTAGTATAAAACCTTCACATTTTTGTTTGTTTTTGTTACAATTATACAATAAAACATAGTGTTGATTGAATATCAAATACACTTTAAGAAACTATGTAACTTTTAGAATTTTGTACATAGACCTAGAAAACCATGTTAGAGAAAAATGAAAAAAATTGCACTTTTTCTTTGATTTTTTTAAAGATTTTTCTTTGTACAAAAAACTAAAAACATGACTAACAATGTGGTTAACCTAAAATTTGATTTTTTTTCTAATATATTTCACAATTTTATATGGAAATACGCATACCGTGTGCAAACAATTATACTACAAAAGAGATATATCAGTTTTCATTAAAATTGGCAGCCATATTGGACGCCATCTTGGATTCTGAAGAAATATGCAAGAGAAATTGCTTAAAGATTTAATTTTTTGAAAAGGGGAAACTATATGCATGCTTTGGTATAAGTTTCAGGTCTGTACAAAAAATTGGAATGAATGATCTATTATGTACATCAAATTTATATGGCGGCCATCTTGAAAATGGCGGCCATCTTGAATGAGCAGAGATATTTTTGGGCCCACTTCACTTTTGAAATCTACATGGTCTAAAGATAATTTCCTGAAAGTTTCATGCTTGTATCACAATTTGCACTATTTTGACAGCAGAGACCTTATTTCCCGCCCCACTAAAACATAAAGTGAATATTCTCCTCTATCCACCACTTTACCCCTTGTAAGTGGGGAACCATAACCAGCAGTTACAAATGATTAGAGCAATAAGAGATGAGAAAAACTGGAGAAAAAAAAATATGGTCCACAGATAAATATTTAATAATATAAAGTTATGTGCTATTTAAAGTCTACAGTACTTGTTATTCTTAAAATACTGTCATTTACCCCATGCAAATGTTCTGTCACAAAAGATTTTTAAGTCAAACATAAGAATTAACTTTGTTGAATTTCTATTCTTAATAACTTTGCAACTTAATACTATCCTTTGTTTCAGGCATTTACATAATTAATTGAAAATAAAATTGAGCATAATTATCAAAATTAATCCTGGAACATGTACGTATTCCAATAACTGTTCTAGAGCAAAGATTTATTGATAATAATTCATAAATGATCAATTTTAGCATGTTATCTATGTATAAAAGTTTATACTAACATTTCCTGGTCATACTAAGCATTGACTCAACATTCTTGATTGTCTGTAGTAACTCCTTCTTATCTTTGTGTTGTAATCTTCCCCATGCTAGCCTACATCCATACTGGAATAACCTATAGAATATACGCAACAATAATAATATATTTAATCATGCAATTATTGCATGGGTAGACTACTGAGTTTCAGTACTTGAGTACACTCACTCTGCCAGAAGTCCTCCACAGCTTGGATTTGATACCAATACTTAAAATTTCTGAGTAATATATATGTTGCAGTCCTCGAGTAGTTTTCAAGTAATTTTTGAGAGTACATGACATTGTATTTATAAGTGCTTGAACTTCTGGAATAAAAAATCAATTAATGAAAACTGCAAAAGAAAAGTTTGTCCAAGATTCGAACTTACAACTTAAAACCAAGCTCCCTAGTTACTTACCACTAGGTCATCAGACAGTATCGACTTCTATTGATCAGTGTATCAAATTCTATACTATTCAGGCAGTATCTACATGTATTGATTTATACTATCATCAAATGGTAAAAAATTTTTTTTACGGAAACTAGTCTAACGAAAAATCTCCTAAAAAATAATTACTAGTAGTCTATTTAGGTCAATAGATGTATTAATCTGTTTTGACTCATAAACACTTGAATAGATGGGCATTCAATAACTTTCAAAACTGCAGGTCATTAAAAAAAAAATATAGCACAGCCATATTGACATTATATTATTAATGTAATAAAAGATTTTAATTTTGATATTGTTTCAATTTAAAGTTTGCTACTGGGTATTCAGTGTCTAATACACTTTTAAGTTTTGAACTGTAAGCTAATACTGCAGTATATACCAGTTTACAAGGTCTTTAACAGCATGCATGGTTTCCTTTTGAATTAATGGTCAATAAAAATTATGGAAATGGCATACATGTACACAATTAATAACTGAAACAATACTGTGAAATACATGTACAAGTTGGTGCCCTTCCCCTTTTATCTGTTGATATGTATAAATAATTAAATGACAAACAGGTTGAATTTAGTTAATCATTAAAACAAAGTTGAAAAGTTATCAAGTATGCTCATGGTAAAATAAAAATCTAGATCTTGAACGGATTAAAATAAACTAGGTCACTTTCAAATAAAAGTTTATAAACTGTCATACCACCCTGATATGTAAGTTATAATGTATGACCTGACAGTTATCAATGTAAGCATTTGATAAAGTATGATAAGTTTTATATTTTGGACTGATTATCATAATTTCTTATATCTAATTGCAACAACACCTTTGTATAATTCACCTTAGTGTTTGAAATTATTTTTTGTCCAATATGATTGCAGTGTTACAAATGAATTGTGACACATTTAGTGCACTTTAAGTGCCACACCTGACCAATTCAATTTTGTAAAAACATACTTTAACTTTACACTTAAATTCTGCGTCATCACTTATTTCACGTTAATTGCATATTTTCATGTTACCAGTGTTTAAATTGGTGTGAATTATTAAATTGGTGTGAATTAACATATTTTATTCAAACAGCTAAACAACAAAGTTTGTGTGCAAAATATTTCAAATCTCTAGATTTTTACGTAAAACAGAACAACATTTTACAAAATTCTGCAAAAAGCAACAATATAAGTCTGTTAAATTTGTGCATACGTCTGAACAATCAACATTTTCTAAATGTTCTTGTTTGTTGAAAAAATATATTTTGACTTAAAAAAATTAAAGATAGTTTTGATATTTAAAATTATGCAAAATAACATGCAGAAATTTAAACTGAAACATGAAAAAACTGAAATTATACACCATTACTGTGATTTAAATGATGACAAACTGTTTTCAAAATGACCGACCTATGGTCTAGAGCTAAACGTCTGGCCCATTAAAACTGATTTTGACTGAATACATTGTTGTTTCCTCAATGTGTCACACAGTAGATAATATTCTATATGTTACAGCTTATGACAGTTTTTGTACCATAAGTTTCATCATCCAATTATGATCCAAAAAAAATGCAAAACTTTAACCAGAAAATTTTCAAGCTACAAAAAGAACCAGAATTCTGTCAAAAGTATACTGGTGCCTCATATTTCCGTGGTACTTAACTGTTTAACAAAGACAATAAATTTAGTTAGAAGAATAAAATTCCGGAAAATACGTTGAATATTGTAGCAAAGACATGTCAGTTACATCATAGTTTATTCCATATAATGTTTGTAT